CCATGACCAGCCACAAACGCTAGAGTGACATAAAGCCAGTTATCAAACGAGTGTCATATCGTTAATACATTTAATTCACTCGACAGTACAAATGACATTTGCAGAATGAGTTGAACTCTCATAAACCCCTTACTGTATTGTCCATGGTATTCATACACACACAAACACAGACATTATTTACGCTTATTCTATTTCCTTGAATTGTGATCTTGTGACCTATAAAACAGCGTTGTATTTGGCTAGTAAATAATGGGAATGGGTGAATGTGAGGTGGAGGAAAAGCTGGAAAAAAAGGAAGATGTGCACGGCGTGGAGCGTTTTTTCATGCGCGAGTTCATTGTTTGCATTGTGGGCTGTCGTACTAATCGGTCGCCTAGTCCAGAGTAGGCCTTTGTGCAACCAAGCGCGAGCTACAAGGCAGCATTGTTTTAGATTAGCCGGTGATCGGTCGGTTGGTTCATTTGCTTTCTCTGGAAGACTTTGTCGGGTTGGTGGAATTCGACAAAGGGGCAATGGCTGTATTCAGTGGCGAGCCACACACCACGTCAGAGCGCTGTCATAAGATACCTGTGGTGTTTTGTGTGGAGAACCCTTGCCAAGTGGTAAACCCACCACATCCTCGAGCACTGCCGCTGATCGTCCGCGACCGCTTATTCAGTGAGAATAAACTTACCTTATTTACAGTTAACCGCCAGATAGCGGCCGTTTCCCTATCTTCGACCTGGGGACGCGCTCGGTAGCATACAGCTCAGATCTTGCCGGAATACTCCAAGTCTACGACTCTGTCTCCAGGCAGGAGCTCGAAGCCAGTGTCCATTACGTTATGTAACGCGTTTTGTAGAACACCATCCATGGCAAAGTTGAAGAGAAACGGAAGGATAGGGCAACCCTTTCGCACCCCATGGGTGAGAGGAAATGAGGATGAAAGTTCAACATAGACCCTAACCTTCCCCGGGGTCTGACGATTGAGCGCTTTTAGGAGTAAAACATCCTTCTCGGGCATTCCGCATCTCCGCAAACAGTTCCACAGTGCGGGGCGATCGACAGAGTCAAAGGCCGCTCTGATGTCCGAAAACAATTTGCGGTCTGCGTTGTGGTGTTCTAGTAGTTGACAGAGGGTGAAGATTTGATCTATGCAGCCACGGGGTGCACAAAACTCGGCCTGCTGCTCACGGGTTTTCTTTTCATGAGATGGGCGGAGGCTAGTAGCTTCCGCGCTATTGGAATCAGACCTGTGCCCTTGCGTTTAGAACAGATGTTGCGACAACCCTTTTTGTAGAGGGGTGTAACAATCGAATCTCCCCATGTGTGCGGTGCACTTTCGGTTTCCCAGATCCTTGAGAACAGTCTCACAAGCTCCCTCACGAGAGCTTCTCTAGCATCTTTAAAGAGGGCAGGTGGCAGGCCGTCTGATCTAGCTACCTTGTGGTGTTTCAGGGCTTGGAGTTCTTTTCGGATCTCCGCTTCTGTGGGCGGTCCCGTGGATAGTGACCAGAGTGCACTCTCAAAAGAACTGCATGGGGCAGCCAGCGCGGGTGGCTGGTTGAACTGCGATGTGAAGTGCTCTGCCCAGCATTCCAAGCGTCGGTGAAGACTGTTTATTAGCGTGCCATCTACTTCGCAAATTGTTTCACTAACGTACTGTCTTTTGGGGCCCGTAGCACGGATGAGTTGAAATAGTTGCCGGGTGTTTCTACATCTAGCTGCTGATCCTATCTCCTTTGCATGTAGCGGCGGTTGCCTCTCAAACTCTTTGTGAGTGCACGTTTCATAGAGAGGCACTGTTCATTTTACTCGCGATCTACCGAGATTGCACGACGCGCATCAAGAGGTCTGAGAGTTGGAGACCCAGTGATTCACAACTCGGCGGGTTAGGCCACAACCGGCAATAGGGGAGCTTTTGGCGAGGAGAAAGGGAAGGGTAACTAGTTACAATCTGAGTAACCCACTCCGACTATATTGAAGCTTTCAGAGACGTTAAAAGGGTTTAAACCTCGAACCTTGGAACTCAATGCACATTGATGCCAGAAACTCAAACATTACAAACAATACCATGCATATAGCATTTAGAAATTTAAATGTTGCTGTTTGTTGACTTTGAAACTAAATGCCCAGGAATTAGTTATGGTAAATTACTTTTCCTATTTGGGTAGCTGCGTGACCAACGCAGCAAAGGAGATAACTAACCGCATTCCCGAGGCTCGAGCATCATATGCACACCTTTAGCGTACACGCAACGTTTCACTGAAGTTAAAAGGTCGTGTATATTGTGCTAGCATTTGTTCACTTTTGCCTTACGGTTGTGAGACCTTGAATTTGGGAGTAGACATCCGTGGCCTAGATATTTTCGACTATCGGTGTTTACGCAGTTTAGCCAACGTGGGAGCGAACGGGTTAGCAATGTGGAGGTAAACCGTCGTGTGTTTGGGAGACTTTCAGGAATAAACCTGTTCGCACATCGAATTCAGATTAGTAGACTTAGCGGGCTAGGGCACGTATTGCGTCTGCTCAGCTGTCGTCTACCGCACCGCGCGTTATTCGCTGTAGCCGCTCCGGGCTGGAGGAAACCACGTGGAGACGGAGCTTGAAGAAATGCACAGAGCCATTAGGTAGAGTAGGTGTCACGCCTTCCAAGTTGAGGTGCGAAAGATTCCACAACCGGTCGGTCGGAGAAATCGAAGGATATAGCAGTGAACCGATAGCAGTGGCGTTCTTTTTATCATTT